AAAACGGAATTAAGGCAAGTTCTTTCTGTGCGGCCCGGTACCAAATGCCCGGCGGACCGGTACCGGTCCGCGGACCGGCGGTTGGGGACCCCTGCTTTATGTAATTGTCCTAATTATGTTGTGTTGTGGATGTGTATGTTTTTTGCTCAGTGTATGAAGCAGCACAGAGGGACTGTCCTCCGAGACAAGTTTCTCCTACGGGAGACCTAATAAAAAGTCAAATCAAATCAAATGTAACAGGCAATCAACCAGTGAACTGTCTCTACTTGATAACCAAGCAATTATGAATCTGAGCGAAGCACTATCTCACAAACAGGGGTGGCGCTACACTCAGGGTAAGAAGGACTTTATCCCCGTCAGAAATCTGTGTAGCTTCAGTGAAGCCCTTTCCAGCATTTTGTTTGATTTCCTCAACTATATTTTGAAATGATTTTCTCAGCTCCCCCTCCCTCCACTCCAATATGGGTCATGCCCCCAGTTTCCCTCAGCAGAGAAAAAGTACTGATGCCGTCTCTGCTCACAAACACAGACAGTAACAGAGGTTGAATGGCTAGAGCAGGGGTGCCCAAACTTTTTTGACCGAAGATCTACTTTTCGATCAACCAACCTCCCGCGATCGACCCGTTACCGTGCACGCGCATATACGCACGCACACACACACACACGTACACACGCATGCCATGATGAGCAATAGCCTGACGCTGAGGCATGCGACGCACTTAGGCAGCCTGTTAACGACCATAGCTCACGCGTACCGTTTTAAAGTGCTTCCCTCGACCCTCAAGATTGCCATTCTTTGCCCTCGCTGAATTGTACACAAAACAAACTCTGAATGAGAATAATGATAATGATAAAAGATAATAGCGCAACAGCTCTGATCACAAGCTGCAACTGCAGACTGCTGAGCGCTAACAACTTCCGATGACACAGTCCCACGTCACTGTAGGTTAAAGATTACCTGCTTTATTTTATTTTATTTTTTAAATACTTTTTGTGAAAGACAAGAGAGGGTTTATTCTTCAAGAATTTTGACGCCAAAATGTCCCCCAATTTAGGAATGACCCACAGAGCTCGCTCAGATGTGCCACAAGTCTTTAAATTCAACCAAGACGTCGCCGCGTCAGGGAAAATAAAACAACCACCACTGGTGGCCATGTGAGGACCACACAAAACAAGTCATGTGCACCCCTGTATATTAAGTCTTCCCTTCAAACAATTTATTTTTAAGACTTATGCTGTCTTAGAAAACTGTGTATTATATAGACATAAATACCCCGAAATAAAATGTATATGTTAATGTTTTGTCTCATATTCATCTTCATATAAAACCCAAATGTGTCTCACTATTCCAATACTTTTGGAGGAACAGGCCGGTGTTATTATTGTCCAAAATTGAACCAATAATTGAAAATATTATATTTACCACTGTGAACAAAAAGTTACATTTAAATTCATGCAAATATTAGCACACCTTCCAGTAACTACAGTCTACAGTGCATCGGCATTATTATGATTATTTTTTTGTTAATGTGTGTTTTTATATGGATGTGGATACCGGTACTTTGTACATGACACACAACTGATGAAGAAAAAAAATACATGAGAGATTAATGTGCTTTGAGAAATGCATTCAGCCTGTCATTAAAAAGTCAAGCGCCAACTGGTGCATAAGAATGTCAAAATACTTCACAAATTAGGCTTGTGTTCTCAGTCGGCGTGTGTGAATGTGTGCGCATCTCTGCATGTGTGTAAGTGTGTAGGCTCGAAAGAGAATGTGCCATGTTTCTGTGTGTGCCTCAGGCCATGTGTTACTTTTGCTGCTGCTAATGAGCCCGAGCAGACCGGGCACACACACACAGACATCTATCCACAGGGATGCTGCAACTGAAGTTGCTGCAAGCAATCCATGGGCTATATCCGATAGAAACGCTCATACACGCGTGCGCGCGCTCGCACACGCACACACACACACACACACACACACACAAAACGTGAAAATATAAATATACTGCATATATAGCCAGTGTTTTAATTTTACTCTGTCAACATTACTACTAATTGTATTTTCTGCCACCATACCACCATCCCCTACCCCAGACGTCCTATCACAGTACACATTAAACAGTTTTACCATGTCTTCTTCCAGTTGTTAAACAACTTTGTCTGCTTATCATATTTTTCATCATGTTGTTACATGATGTCCCAATTGATTCTAATGGTTCAGCTTGCATTAGCACAAGAAATGAAGCAAACTACTAGCAAGCAAGTTACTGTCGCACAAAGAATAATCATGACTCCAGTAAAAACTGTCAATGCGAATGCCCCTGATTTGATCAATTTAGAATTTGACACGAATTATATTAAAATATACGTCGAAGGTCTGTTCAAATCATGAATTTGAACCAATGTCGTCACATAAGATAGCTGCTTTCTTCACAAGATAGCGCATTCAAACCAGTAAGGCTTAATTTATGTTGTTATTAAAGTTAAGGTAGGCTTTAGCATTTTTTTTAAATACATCGATTAAATTATTTTGCTGCAACCCTGAACAATATAAGTCAAGGGTGGGCAACTGTCCTCCCTGTTTTAGATGTTTCCTTCCTCCAACAC